TTTATAACTAATACTTTAAGTTAGGGCAATATTTAAATTTAAAATGATACTGCGCTGGTTTTTCCAGTCTCATGCCGTCTCGAGTGACGAATACACTGAACACATATTTAGCACATGCATTGTGTAACTAGCTGTCATATTCAGATCTACATCAGGTACTTTGTGTACTTAAGTTATTTATTATCAGTGTTTTATGAATGGCATTATCGACCGCTACATTGTTGTACTATACTAACTCTAAAACGGTCGCTAACTTAAAGAAGAATTGTCACACAAAGATAAAGTTTTTTATTGATCAATGCAGTTAGTAAAAATACCATTTTGATAACTGATTATTATCTAATCCATATGAAACAGGTAACTTTCATGCGATGGAATATAGATAATTGGTCTACTGCAACCAATTAATTTAATTTGTTAGAAGAGTTACAATAAAATTGTCATTAACTACATCTAGGTAACAATGTGTATTATTTAAATGTGAATAATCGGCATTATTCGCAGGATACATATAACTCAAATGTTTATCAGTAACACCTTTGTCCAATAATAACAGATTAGCCAAACTGCACTCGTTTATACTGATGACATAATCAAATAGCCTTGATTCTTTTTAAGTAGTACAAAGACCTCAGTTGTTTGACTAGCGATCACTGATTACGTTTATTTGGAAAATTTCGCATGTACAATAGAAATAAATTATGATTTTTGGAAGAATTTTAAAGAAAGATGAAAGCATATAGTTTAGCTTTATCTCATTATACTTACAATATAACAACATGTGTTTTCTTCATGGATCATGTATTTGTAAATCTGAAAAGATAAAGTTAGTTCTGTGTAAATTTTGGTGAGAATTGAGGAATTTGGCATATTTCGAGAATGAAAGTCATTTAATAAATATAGAAAAAAATGCTATCCGTCTTATGTTGCAACCATTCCTCTCTACTTATTTATTTGCTTCACCGACACCGAACCGAATGACAGTGTGTATACAATACCTAAGACTAAGTGTAGTTTTGTGGGTAAACAGAGCATGCATCAATTCTAAACAATAACTTAAGCTTATTACATTTTCAACTTAAAACTTAATGGGTAAACTAAATGTTTAAACTTGCCAAATCTGATGAGAAAAATGTCAATAAGCTTATTATATTTATTGTGATGCGGCATCTAGAGAAATTAGATTCAAAAATAGTCCTACGCAGCTACGTTATGGAGGATATAGAAGGTTGATCTTGCTATAGTGATATCTAAGCGGAATTTTAAATTTTGATAGCAAGTCATCACACAAAATCATTATCACCACTATTATTTTATATTATTATTTTATAAAGAAATACAAAAAAAATATGGAATCCTACTAATTAAAAAAAATAAAATAATGCGACTTACTTTGTTTGCTATTCCTGCCTTGTATGGTATTGGATTCAAAAAACGTTTCTTGATACATTCTATTCGTAGACTGTGTATTGCATAATGAGGTCGCCACACTACACAACAATACTCGAGGACACTGCGGACCAGGGTATTAAACAAAACGATTCTAAAAAACGATTTAGTGTTTCTAATTATAAAGCCATGAGCTTTAGAGCTCACTATATAATAGTAGTACATCATTTATACTATCAACCACTCATATCATCTTAAGATCATCAGCAAACATGTTGTCGTCGTTAAAACTATGTTGAAAAGCGCAGACCCCAAATGCGAACCTTGAGTTACACCTGAAGTAATTTTAAAGATATCAGATTTGTAAGCATCCACTACAACGTAAAAGGATTTATAACAATTAAGCCATTTAAGAAAAAGGACAGATTTTGAATCAACACATGTGAAACTTTATCAAAGGCTTTACTGAAATCGGTATATATTGCATCGATTTGAATATTAGAATCTGCCGATTCAATGACTTCCTCCATAAAAGATATAAGATTAGTTCCTGTAGATCTTCCAAGAGTTTCCAGACACTAACAAAATCTTTTGAATCAGATTTATATGTATAGGATTTTATTAGGATTCACTTAAGCCAATTGCCTGTTTGTCGGAAAAGTGCCAGTACTGAGTGATTTTATTGAAAATAAATTTCAATGGAATAGCTAACCTGTCTGCACACTTAACAAAAAACACAGGAGGAATTTCTGAAACAGTCAAAGTGTTAACAACTAATAAAGAAGTCCAACGGAGTTAAACCAGAGCCAGTGTTTTATTGAATAGCATCAACAAAATATAGTCCACCGACAACAGATTGCACTTGATCATCCGTGACCTCCTGTATAATGAACGGTCTGCATTTTCTGTGATTGACGAGACCTATAATTTTGGGGGGATTGCAATGCTTGTCTCTTATTGTGGCGTACATTTGCGTTATGATTGAAACGAACAGGAGTATTATCATTATTTTTAGAGTTTAGTGTATTTCATATAGGACATAGCCACGAAATCAATTTACAGAATGAGTCCAGGTTAAAACATTTAAAATGAAAATCTTTTTTACATGTAGCGCATTGTGTTTATTATTCAATGTCATATTCAAAAAGACAGACGTCAGTTGATGTTGACAACACACTTGCAGGGTAGTTAAATTATTTCTGTTGACATTGGCGATCATTTTGTAATCCAAACACTACAAATTTGGGCATATTGATCTGGGATAACACTATCACTAGTGCAGCTTAATGATCCACTCATTAACAATTTAACACAACTCCACAACTTAAATAGTAAAATTTATAGTTTAAAAACTAAAAATGCTTTTATTTACTGCACTAAAAAGCCAAAAATAAACAAAATATACTCTCTGTTTACTTCATTAGGGCCTTAGAGTTAGCCATGATTATAGTTTATTTTGACATATATATATATAACTGTAAAAGCGCGGGAGTCGTCAGGAGAAATGAACAAAATATGTACCTTCCAGTCCCATCATCAGACCAGCTCGATAGTACCATAATATTGTATTGATAATGATGATACAAGAATTTGAAGTGCGTGTAATTCAGAATCTTAGATTTTATTACAAGTGATTTCGTTCGTTCTTTACAAGTCGACCTAACAAAAGCGTGTTTATAAAAAGATGCAATTTTTTATTTGAAGACGAAGTACCGTTACTCAAGGTTTCTTTATTATTTATCTACAACTGAAATTAATCGAGAATGGGTGAAAAAAGTTAGGACTATTCATAGAAGTTACACTAAGTTTTTCATTCATATAAAGATTTCTCGAACACCGACATTCATTGATTTGTGGCACACAAAGTTGACGACAGACTTGCGTAGTTAGGGCGACACGCTGCGCTAGCGACTCCCGAGCTCCCTAGCGAAGTACGAGTCGCGATTGTATCTTCACGCTCAATTGTCGCGCATTATACAGTTTAGATATACTGTCGACAATTATCAACCTTCGACGGAATATCGTCTGAAATCGCAACACTCAGTGGCCAGAGGTGTGGGCGTGAGCGACTGCGAAATAAGAATGTTACTTTGAATTTTTAAATAAAAGCATGATGCAATATTGAAACCGTTTTGAATTATTGTATGGTATTCGGCGTCCCCTGCGAATGCAATTTCTATTGCAATGGGATACAAAACGCCAAGAGATGGCAAAGTGTACCGCAAGATTTATGCAAGATACTCGTGACAGCACCTGCCACAAATCATTTTTGCAGTTCGACGGAGTAACTAACCTTAGAAGCTCAATTTCACCGTCTAGTGCCAATTATCGCGCAATTAGAACTCCAATAACAAATAAAATAGTTTTAATACATTATCAACAAAACCCCCCAAGGTTAGATACGAACTTACTAGAGACATAATGTTCGAAAATACATTGTTGTAACGTCCGTCCCTCGATTCGTCGGCGCGCGCGGGTCGTCGACCGAAATCGGCGCGGGCGCGACCTTGCATCTCTGCTCACCTACATACGCCGCCGCGCGCCGCTCGATTGTCGGCACCGGCGACGACGACGCGACCACTTTTGCTTTCGACATTCGCAAAAAATAAATCGCCGACTCGGATAATGTGCGAACTGTGAACCGATCTGTAAGGGTCCAAGGTTACTTATGTGGTTCACTCGTGGAGTCTTAGGCGTGCTGATATATGACTTGTGTCCCACGTACAACAGCAGAACAAAGCCTGGCTGTTTTTGTCATTGTAAAGGAAGGTGATTAAAAATATTACACTTGTAAGATCCTTAACAGAAGCACCAAAGATTCTTTTAAAATTTTTGCTTGATAAATTGGGTTAATTAGAGACAAAGCTCCCAGTGAAGTGCGAAAAAGAATTCTAGTTATAAGTCTTGGATCTACAAAGACTGTGCACCCTAAGCGAGAACAGACAACCCCATGCCACCCCTCGGCACGCCACCCTCAACACAAAAGTCTCACACCATAAATTCCGCAAAAATAACACAAACCACCTAAAATACAAAGCTCATAATCGCACGAACGGCATCATTTGGCTACGTCTCAATATTTGTATTATCCCGTCGCTTACCTGTAGATCTCGGTTAGCGTACGGTCGTAAAGTGAAGTTAGGTTCGCAAGGAGATTTTTGTTTGTAATAATATTAACATTATGGCAGTTGTGATGTGACTTTCGTTTGCCACTAATTGGGTCAGTTGTAAGTACAATGTGCTCAATGTTTTTTTTATTAACTCAGTATAGTCACGAATCGCGTCAAGTGTACGCATGTACGGTGAATGTCACGTTGACGAAAGTACTCAAAGTTCGGTTGGTCGGTTGGTCTACGCAGCAGCGGCGCGTCTCGTTGCGTCACTGCACTGGACCGCCAGGGCATTGCACCGTGCACTTCACAATACCCACGATCGTGTATGCCGTCCCGCTCACGCGACCGCTCTATGGCCGTTTACGGTCGATATTTAATTTACCAGCTGATTATTAATTTGTTAAAGATCGCTTCATTCTTTTTCATGTTTTAACGTGCAACAGAGCAATACTTAAAATTGGTCTCACATTTTAATCGTCTGTGTTTTATTTGTTTCAGTGGAGTAGCGGTGCTGAGTCCAACAGAGAGTGGTGGCTGTAGCAGTAGCGATATCACCGAGCCTGGCTCACCACGCAGTCCAGAATCAGGCTGCAGCACCTCGGAAGACAGTACGGGCGCGGGCGCGCGCATGCCGCCTTGGGCGAGCGAGCCGGCGCCGCCGCGACGCCTCGCGGCCCAGGCCGTGCCAGTGCGCCGCCCGCACCCACCGTTACACCGCCGCATCACCGAGTACTTCAGCCATAAAATGAAGCCGCAAAATGGAGTCAAACGCGACTCTAACGCTACCAACAACGATGACAACAAAAGGAAGTGCCTTCCAAAAAATTGTGTCCCGAACGACCTGGAAAGTTATATCTCGTACTTATCGCAGACGCTTAGTCCAAAAGTTTTGATGGACGTGGGGAAACAGGCTGAAGCTGCCGCTAGAAAGCAAGCCAGTTCTTCAACTAATGGAACTGTCGAATGCTTTAAACCAGCAGAGCTCAACAAAATGACTCCAAACATCAACGTGAACGGTATGATCGATTTCGGTATACCAAAAGAAAGTAAAGAAAAAAGTCATACTAATTTGAACGGCTTCATGGAAGTTCGGCAAGGAAATGATGCACCCAGGAAAGGAAATGGACATCTCAACGGGTTAGTTGATTCTAAGAAACAAGGCCTCGATTTTCAAAAGACTGTAGACCCATCCGCCAATTGCACTATCAATAGATGTAACACTTCAACAGGGGCAGCTAAAAGAAAAATTCCAATACCCATGTCAAATGAATCGATCGGTGTAAGAATTGCACCTGCGACGTCCGCGAGTCATTCACCAAAAAAATCAACAACGGTGCGATCAGATTCTAGAGTGAATGGTATTGTAAGTTCTACTACTAAATTAGATAGTAGAATGAACGGGGTTACCTGTGGATCAAATAACTTAAGTTTAAATTCCATTACTTCAAAGGCTTCCATGGCTAAAAAAGAACAAGCAAAGAAGGCACAGCCGGCGAAAAGAACTAATCGTAAGTCGTCTGCTTGCATCGCTAACAGTAAAAATCTCACATGGTCTAAGGCTAACAATTTAAAACAGGTTCAAATACAACAGCAAAATTGTGCAAATTCGGCACAGACTTCCTCGGCTAAGAATATTTTAAACGAAGCAAGTACAGCACCAAAGATGAATATTCCAAATGGTGTCCGGCAAGTTTCAATGACAGTTAACGGTAGTCTTGGTAATTTAAATGTGCCTGTACCAAATTTACAAAATTGTCATCAAATCAATATGCAACAGCAATGTAATGGAACAGTACCTTCTAATAACCTAGCATCATTCGTGGCTGTTCCTCAGAATGTAATGCTAACTACTTTAAGAATACCTCCAAATGGAATACCGGCACCGCAGAATAATATGACCTCCTTCAATAGACAAAACGTTAATGTCACAAGTCCGTCAAAGTTAAATGGTCAATTTGTGTTTCCGCTAATGCAAAATATTAACGGGACTGTGGTACAGATACCTAATTTAATGGCGAAAATGCCCAACTTTGTGCTTCCACCAACGCCACAGCTGACAACGCAAAGGCAAGATCATTTGCAAAATCAACAAGCTGCTCAGTTCCTTATAAATGGTACGCTGTTAAAGTTAACTAACACAATGCCGACTACATACCCTAATGTAAACAAACCTGCCCCTGTTACGAGTCAGTCTATTCCTGGAATAAACAAGAATGTTCCTGGAATGCCGCCTGTTGGAATAACGGTTCAATCGAAACCAAATTACACAGTTAATTTCAGTCACCCTGTCCTGATGCCACAACCTGGATATATAGTTACATCAGTGCCAAATATAAACGTTAAGGAGACCTGGAGTTATACAAATACGCCATCATCGTCACAGACTTCGTGTTCGAATCCTATTATTCATCATCCGCCCCCGATGATGGCAAGCTTTACCTCACAAGCTTTACACACGAGTAGTATTCCCATAGCACCAGTCAAACCTCCTGACAATCCAATCCAAGGAACAGACCCACCCAGTAGCACAGTTAAGGATACTAATGAAGTAAATGAAGTTACAAGTTCGAAATGTGATATACCATGGCTTTCAAAAACTGTGAATAATAACATTGTTCCGTTAAATACTAATAAAATATCTTCGAGGCCTTTTGCACAAGTTAGTTTTTCGGAGAAATTAGACGAATTAGATATAGATAATCTGAAACAGTCGAAAATCGACGAAGAAGAGGAACGAGAGGTTATAAGAAAAAATAGCATAGGGGACGATTTAAGAAAAGTTGAAGAAGTAGCGAGAAGAGAGGAGACTATTTTCACACAAATAACAGTTCTAAAGGACGTATCGTCGCACGTCCAGAATACTGTGATAGAAGCGAATTTCTGTAGTGCTACTACGGAATCGTCCGAATCAGGGATAGGCACCGACAAGTCTATCGATTCACCTAGTGATTCTCAAGGGAGTAAGGAATGTGACGAAGATTCGTCGTTATCATTATGTGTGAGTGTGTGTTCTATGGAAATGCAGAGTTGTCAGAAGAGTCCTATTCTGAAACAACCGAAAACGCTGCGGTTTCCCCCGAGGAATCCACTGAAAACAGATAGTGATCAAAGGACGTCAAGTACAGATACAACATCGACGATAACATTGTGTTTGTGGGAAAATTGCAAGAGCGAATTTGAAAGTGATTCTGATCTTTTGGAGCACTTACAGGTGAGATATTATTTAACAATTATATTACTTCCATTTTTAATCCCTACCAGTATATAATAGCCCTGTGTAAATTTTGAAAGAAATTATTACTCCATATGAGTGCAATAGGGTATTATTATTATACCCTATTACACCGAATACGGGCTCAAATGGAATTACTTTTAGTATATATTTATATTAATAACAATTCAATCCTACCGGCTTAATTATACTTGCTTGTTAGCCCGTATTCGGTTGCACGAAAGACATTACTCGAATTCGGGCACCCGAAGCAATATTTACACTGGAATACGAGCTGGACGACGGTGTCTGGTAACCAAAACGAAAAGTACTCGATTGCGGGCGTACTTGACTCCGTTTAACCGAATTCTATTGGCACTCGTATTCGGGTTAACGACCAAGTGTAATTGAGACATCAGACACATTTTTCTTTTATTTTTTCATTACACTTATTACCATTACACTTAGTCGTTCACCCGAATTCCATTGGCAATCGTATTCGGGCTAACGCCCAAGTGTAATTGAGACATCAGACACATTTTTCTTTTATTTTTTCATTAAAGCCGGGTTCATGTTTTGTTTTTACTCCACCTGATGTTAAGTGACTGAGTGATTTACAAACATAGTGCAATCTGGTATTATTTTATTCTTAATCTTAGCAGAAAATATCTTTGTTAGTTGACAAAGCTGTAATAATTGCGGTGTCGATTGTTGCAGCAAGACAAAAGGTAGAATGAACAGGTGCAAAATGCTATTGTTTCTGATAATTATTATGATATTTAATTTTCTCTACAATTGAAACTCAATTCAAACATTTAACAGATCCGTCCTAAGTATATTAATAAACTTGTTCTATGTCAATCTTTGCTTAAGTATTTCCTGATAACAGTTTGAATATGAAATATAAACATGTGTATTTTATTTGCTAGTCTTTGTCTGCTACATTGACTCAATTGACTTCGGAATTACATGAAAAATATTTTTCAATGTGATGTTTAAAGTTCCTATATATTTAAAGTATAATGCCTGGTAAAATATAATGCAAACATATTGTGGCTGGATTGTACAATAATTTCACCTCAATCTGTCGACACTTTTCAACTACATAGGCTGACTTATAATAGCCATTGATCACCTCATTCCAGTCGGTTCACGTGGAGTCTCAAGCGGGCAAGGAGAACTACGTATGCCTCTGGCAGCGGTGCAAGGTGCGCGGCAAGCCCTCCTGTTCGCGACTTTGGCTGGAACGGCACGCGCTCTCTCACGGAGGAAACAAGCCATTCAAGTGCATCGTCGACGGCTGCGACAGACGATTCTCCACTCAGGTAATGTTCTTTCTCCAAAACCCCCGAAGATGATGGGGGTAATCGCCTGACCTCTATCCCATTTCGATCTGCATCAACGGAATCGTCAGCAAATTTTTCTGTTCCACATTCCGCGATCAGACATGATCTCATCGTTACCTCTTTTTTCTTCTTCATTTTGTCTTCAACAGATACATGTACATGGTACCATATTCCTATCCACATTCATGTTAATCTTACCTGTCCTTGCCTTACACTTTAATAGGACTTTATGACACTACAATAAGCAAATTCTAGCAATAGATAACATTGACGAAACACGGGTACTGAAAATGAAAAGGTGCTAAACTACTGTACAAATTAAGTATATCAATTGAGGAAAATTTCATGAATAAACTATGAAATACTGTTTATTTGTAATAGACAGTGGTCTTGAACGTCATTGTGCAAAATCGGTAGAGCTGCCCACTAAAATCGGTATATTTGTACCCAAATTCGGTATATCAAGAAAAATACAATATTAAATCTAGTTTATTTATCAAAGAAAACCTTACATACTAAAAAAATTGTATGTTATGTTTTAACCGATTCCAAAAAGGTGGAGGTTCTCAATTTGTCAATTTTTTTTAATGTTGTTCGCCCATATTTCCGAATATTTGTACCGAAAATCGGTGTATCACAAAAAATATATTGATCAATATTAAATCAAATTCGTTTATTTATCAAAGAAAAACTTACAGACTAATATTACGTTACTTTTAAACAGATTCCAAAAAGGAGAATGTTCTTAATTCGTCAATATATATATATATGTACTATATATATATACAGTACATATATAAGTATATTTATATAGAAATACGATCGATATGAAACATCAATGACTGGAGTACAAATGCTCGTATTCATCACACAAACATCTGCCCCCACCGGGACTCGAACCCTCTTGAGTCGGCGACACCATGAAACCCGGCATAAAAACCACTCGACCACGGAGGTCGTCAATAGAATCACTAATCATTCATACTTATTGTTGAATGATTCCCCGTAACGTTAAACATAAATGAAATAAAATAGCTGTCGATTCAAATTTGAAAAATGGGTATAAAATCGGGAGAATTTCCCATGTATTCTATGAAATCGTGGAACAATCATTGCATTTCGATATTTCGGTAGGACATCGGTAGACCACTGGTAATAGAAGTTTCATGTTTAGTCAATGCTATCTATTGTGGATTTTTTTGTTCTATCATTCTATTCCACTGGTATACTTACTTACTTACACAGAGATGTTATTGATAACTTTTTAGGTAAAATTTACTTAGATTATTATTTTTTGTAGTCCATGTTATCATAACAAAAACAAGGTGAAGGTATCAGTGTTGCAGTGGAATAGAACGCTCTGAATCTGCGTAGTTTTAAAACACTTTGTATTTTTACTAGGATCGTGTTCGCAAATTACATATGAAGTTATTTAGCATTTGCGTTTACGACCTGACCATAATTATTTAAAAAAAAACATTAACACAGTAGCGTGAACCAAGAAAAGCGCAGGGATTCTTAAAACAGACTCAAAAATTATTATTGATTTGAAATCGGCTTTACTATGTACGTATCCAGTAGTGTGTGAACATCTTCAATTGTTGTTTGTAATGGAATTAACTTTTTGCTCTGCTCTAAGTCTGCACTACTCTTTGTTGACACTGATGTTTATTGTGGATACTGGTGAACTGATTCGAAGATGCTTTCGCTCTTTGGCATTTGGCTGTTTCATCTCTTATGTTACATCTAGCGACTGCGTTTAGGGGCAAAATTTTCAATAAATAAACAATACTGAAATATTGACAGACCGAGTTTAAAATGATCTATCTTGATTTAGTACCTGCTTAAATAATGTATGCAAAATTACAAACATAGATAAATGCACTTACTCGAATCAGTAACAATATTTTTTATTTATTTGATTTTGTAGCATTTGGCGTTATTGCATCAGCGTAAAAAAAAATTAAGCGTAAATTCAATCTTGTGAGTTGAAAAATTACACGTGTTTATTGTATTTTAATACCATCGTTCCAAGGGGATACTTTTTAAGGAACTCAATGGCGCACTGGTTAGTTATAGTATTAGCTGGGTGTGTGGATTACGGCTTTGCTCCGGATAATATTTTCGCCTCCGGAGATTTTTCTCCGGTTTTAGCCCGTCTCCGGAGAATTCTCTGGAGAATATCCATATATTAAATATGCTTAAATAAAACTAAGCAAGTAAGATATAAATTATTTTAATCGAAGAAGTCAAAACATTTTAAATCCAAGACGTCTGCAAGAATTAATATGTAGTGTAGGTATGAAAATAAACTAACGAATCTTCTAACATTAATAATATTAAAATTGTCAAAAATGGACCTACTTGGTCATAGATAGGGACTTGGAGCAAAATACCTTTTTTTATCCAGGGGAAATGCCTTCGCATACCACCCTATCATGGGGAGTAGTTATGTGGAACTTGAACCCACTAAAACCACCTGGGTGTCTCTCCGCCGCTGTGCGACGTACTCCGGGATCATTAAAATACTTCTACCGGAGCCGCCGCCGGATGTCCTAGAAGACCCGCCTCTCTTAGGATAAAAACTTACAGCTTTCTAAGGTTATATCAAGCAGATATTGAATCATTTTCAAATTAATAATTTAACGTAAAATGCCTACCTTTCCTGTCTTTTTGAGGTACAACAGCGCTAATTATAATACCCACTGTTCAAATCGTAAAATCAAAATGTATTAATACCTGCGCTTGCAGCAGGCAGACACGAACTTTTTCATTCCGACCACAGACTAACAAACAACAACAGGGTTGCGTTCAGAACCTACGGTCTATTGGCAGCAAATGTCAAAATTGACGTAAGTTTTATAAATTTTATGGTAAAATTTGAACGTCAGCGTAAAAAGTTGCACTCAGAGCATAGGTTTGAATGCAACCCAGTACTGACTTACACTCCAGTGTTGTCGTAAACAAATATTGCGTTTGTTTCTGCAAGAGTCACATAAAACAGAAATATTTTTTATTAGTATCTGTAAAATCTCGGAGATAAAAAAAAACGATTCTTCGCATAATTGTTGATCTCCGGAGAATCTCCGGTTTTTTTGTCTCCGGAGCAAAGCCCTAGTGTGGATGGTTAAAGATAGGTGACCTAAAATGTATTAACTTGAGCTCCTCCGTGCTTCGTTAGGCACGTTAAGCCGTTTGCTCTAGTTCCATCTGCGGTCGTTAGGACCTACTACAAGGTGGGTCTTGGCCTATTCTCCTTATTCCACCCATAGAGAGGTTTGTGCCTCAGTGGGGACTTGATAGGCTGCTGATAATGATGATGAGGGATTTTTAAATGCTGTCCATAAAAACGAGGCTGATGGCATTGTCTAGTCTAGATATATAGAATTAAAACAATTCCTTAACTTGAAGTTTTTAGCGTATAAGAGAGGTGCGAATATCATTAGTTCACTAACATAAATAACATTCCCAATTTACCAATCTCTTAGCGATAGAAACGTCGCTTTTTACTTTGACTGGTCCAAAATTAGTGATAGGTTTTCAGCTTGTCGCCTGCTCTAGTAATTAAAATCTTGTCTGTTGGTAGATTTTTTCAATCTACACGTAATCATTAGTAGCTGGTGCATTTCCTTAAATCTTAGATATATTAAATTAATGAAATTTATTAATTGGAATTGAGTTTCAATTTCATTTGTTTTAAAAGTCTTTGTTTGTAATTTTGTGTATTCCATTTCTTTCTCTTTGGAAGTTATCCATATCTTAACTTGTATTTGATATCTTCTTCAATTTAGAATGTCTTGTAATCTCAAATTGTTCCAATAATAGGGTTATTTATTGTAACATTTTATTACATAGAAAGTATTGTATAGAGATTGAGTAATGAAATTTCGTATTTCATACTGGCACTTTTAATTACAGTAATGTAACTAATTAAAAAAAAACCGTCGGCTATTCATGTTCTTTCATTCTTATCTATACTTACTTTGAGTAGTTAGATATCTATAGGTTAGTTATGTTTTTATTATAGTACTGGTACTAGTTCTAAGTTCTGTAAATCACAACCAGTCCTAGTGATTGGATCCATATGTGATTAAAGTAGTTTGAAATTCGACTCATCATCATGGCCCGTATTGGCATATTCTACTGCATTTTCGTCTTCGAATCAATTATTAATTTTTTCATTCGTCAGTTTTGTATGCTCTACGATCGATCTATTATCGATGCAATCACTAGAAATAGTGGCACATCACAACATAGTAATTTATCGTCCTTATTTAAATCGTCAGAAAATTTTCCGATATCAGCTGTTTTTAATATTCATGCAATTCTTCTTCTGTTATATTATGAACTTTTATAAAGTCGTCAAATAATAAATCCTCGTCAAGTATATTCAAAACAAATGATACTAAAGGTTTAAACTTCTTGAATATAAATGAACGTCTTTTAATTCTTCCTTTATTATTTTTCTCCTATTTGATCGTCAGTGATGTGACCACTTGGAACGGTAGTGGGAGATTCTTCCTTCTTCATCGACAATACTAATGGATGATAAAAGTGTGATGTTTTCTTTCCTAAGGACACGAAGAAGAAGCCACCATGCAGGTTCTCGTCCCGAATGCATCCACAAGTCTTATTATTTCTGTCGACCAATACATTTATCGTATCATCGCTTAGATAATATAAATCTATTGAGAGACATATTTATTTTCGTTTCATCAACCACGCCAGTACCGCCGAGGTCTTTGTAATGGATTAAACCAAGTATTGTGATAGGACTAAGCAGCATAGTTCATAAGTATTTATTTTCAGACGTTATTTATGCTTCATTGTAAGCGGAGACTGAAGGCTAGAAAATATATATCAACCGTCATCGCTTTGGGTTGGAGCAATGGAATGTACGAGAAAAATTTACCCAAATTAACAATATCAGGAAACTTAGTTGGAGGAACTCAGTAGTCTTTTATTTAAATTTAATAGTCCCTGTAACATTCCAGATCTTGTTGGAGAGACACGTGAACAACCATTTCAACGAAGTGTCCCCGAACACCAGCGGCAGTAAGAAAACCACCGACAGTGCGGCAAAGCTCATACGCAGAAATGGGAAGAAATTGCGGTACAGAAGGCAACCTTGGTCAGGTGAGTTATAAAGCTTTCCTAATTAAAGCGTTTTTTAATTCTTGAGTCCTTTAAGTATATGTCTGCCGTGACCAGATGAATCGACAGTGTGTGTCTCTTTACGATCAACGATTCGATTTTGTATAATTCTGACGTCAGCCGCCGTACGTAACTTGGCTGGGGCGTTAATATTTACATGCGAATACTAATTTCGTTTTTATATCCATACCTTCCATGGAAGGAAAGGCACTAAAGAAATTGTACAGGGCACGTATGAAATTATTTCAGCACGTCTATAACCGTCCGTTTTAAACAAGTAAATGATCGATCGTTTCGACCAATCGTTTCGTGTATGAAGTGGCATTTTTGCAACGGCCGATTGTTACGATTTCCGTCAGATTGACCGAAACGATGAATCGTTCCATATACGAAGGGCCTTAATAATCACGTAATGTAAGTTTAGCTGGGGGGATTTCGGAGAAGGAATGCGAGATAGTTATCTGACAATATCGTTTGCAGCGCGCATGTTCGACTTCTTCGACGCGGGCATGATGGAGGGATTAGCTTGGCGATTGGCGCGCGTGACTCGCTGGCGACTCGGCGGCGCGTGCCCGCTGCGGGAGCCGCGTGGCCGCCACACGCTGACGTTTACCGCCGCGCTGCAAGCCACGCGCTACAACCACGCGCGCCGCTGCACTGAGGCGCTGCTGACCTACCGCCCGCCGCACGTGTGAGTATTTATCAATGTAGTTTTACAGAGACATCCAAAACGCCAGCAAGTCTTACATAAATATAGTACACTGTACACTACACTACAGCAGCGTTTGGGAAGTTACTTCAAGTCCTGAAATCGTCGATCCCACAGTGCCTAAAGACGAAAATCTTCGATCAGTGCGTCCTACCTGTGATGGCATACGGAGCCGAGACGTGGACACGGACGGTACGGCTGGTCCACAGGTTCAAAGTCGCCCAGCGCGCTACGGAAAGGGCTATGCTCGGCGTTTTTCTGAAGGGTCGCATTAGAAATCAGGTAATCCGACAGAGAACCAGAGTTATCGACATAGCCCACCGGATTAGCAAGTTGATGTGGCAGTGGGCTGGCCATATTTGTCGAAGAACCGATAACCGTTGGGGTAGACGAGTTCTGGAGTGGAGACCGCGTCTAGGCAAACGTAGTGTAGGACGTCCTCAGGCGCGATGGAGTGACGATTTGCGCAAGGTGACTGGCAGGAGCTAGATACGAGTAGCCCAAGATCGATCTAAGTGGCGTACATTTGGAGAGGCCTATGTCCAGCAGTGGACTAAGATGATGATGATGATGTTGATGTACACCACACTAGCATCGCACTGTCTCAGGGCACTTGTCCCACCGTCGACGATGAAAGAGAAGCAAATACAACTAGAAACTACAAAAAGTGTTGGCGAGCAGAATGAAGCGAGTGTGGCATCGACACCTACTCACCCTACATTTAAATTACCGAAGCAAGGTTTGATCCTCCATAACAAGTAATCTAGTAACTCCAAATTCCACTTCATAGAGTCTAGTGAATCCACCTCACTCCCCGTCCTCCGCGACAACCGCTAACTAGAGCCGAGGTCCGAGTCTCTAGTTGAGCCGACGCCCCTCAGACTCCAGTGGACTAGTGACTCGACCTCACTACCCTTCCTACACGACAACGGCTATCTGGAGCCAAGGTCCGAGTCTCTAGTTGAGCTGACGCCCCTGAAACTCCAGTGACCTAGTGACTCCACCTCAATGCCCGTCCTCCGCGACAACGGCTAACTAGAGCCGAGGTCCGAGTCTCTAGTTGAGCTGACGTCCCTCGGACTCCAGTAGTCTATTGACTCCACCTCACTGCACTCACTGCGACAGCGGCTAACAAGAGCCGAGGTCCGAGTCTGTAGTTGAGCCGACGCCCCTCAGACTCCAGTAGTCTAGTGACTCCACCTCACTGCCCTCACGGCTAACTAAATCCGAGGTCCGATTCTCTAGTGTAACGGACGCCCCTCAGACTCCAGTGGCCTAGTGACTCCACCTCACTGCCCGTCCTACGCAACAACGGCTATCTATGGCCAAGGTTCGAGTCTCTAGTTGAGCTGACGCCCCTGAGACTCCAGTGGCCTAGTGACTCCACCTCAATGCCCGTCCTACGCGAAAACGGCTATCTAGAGCCAAGCTGCGAGTCTCTAGTTGAGCTGACGCCCCTGAGACTCCAGTGGCCTAGTGACTCCACCTCAATGCCCGTCCTACGCGACAATGGCTATCTGGAGTCAAGGTCCGAGTCTCTAGTTGAGCTGACGCCCCTAAGACTCCAGTGGCCTAGTGACTCCACCTCAATGCCCGTCCTACCCGACAACGGCTATCTAGAGCTATGGTCCGAGTCAGACTCCAGTGGCCTAGTGACTCTACCTCAATGCCTATCCTATGCGACAACGGCTAACTAGAGCCGAAGTCCGAGTCTCTAGTTGAGCTGACGCCCCTGAGACTCCAGTGGCCTAGTGAGTCCACCTCATTGCCCGTCCTACGCGACAACGGCTATCTAGAGCCATGGTCCGAGTCAGACTCCAGTGGCCTAGTGACTCCACCTCACTGCCCGTCCTACGCAACAACGGCTATCTATGGCCAAGGTTCGAGTCTCTAGTTGAGCTGACGCCCCTGAGACTCCAGTGGCCTAGTGACTCCACCTCAATGCCCGTCCTACGCGAAAACGGCTATCTAGAGCCAAGCTGCGAGTCTCTAGTTGAGCTGACGCCCCTGAGACTCCAGTGGCCTAGTAAGTCCACCTCATTGCCTGTCCTACGCGACAACGGCTGTCTAGAGCTATGGTCCGAGTCAGACTCCAGTGGCCTAGTGACTCTACCTCAATGCCTATCCTATGCGACAACGGCTAACTAGAGCCGAAGTCCGAGTCTCTAGTTGAGCTGACGCCCCTGAGACTCCAGTGGCCTAGTGAGTCCACCTTATTGCCCGTCCTACGCGACAACGGCTATCTAGAGCCATGGTCCGAGTCTCTAGTTGAGCTGACGCCCCTGAGACTCCAGTGGCCTAGTGACTCCACTTCAATGCCCGTCCTACGCGACAACGGCTATCTAGAGCCATGGTCCGAATCTCTAGTTGAGCTGACGCCCCTGAGACTCCATTGGCCTAGTGAGTCCACCTCATTGCCCGTCCTACGCGACAACGGCTATCTAGAGCCATGGTCCGAGTCAAACTCCAGTAGCCTAGTGACTCCACCTCACTGCCCTCACTGCGACAACTGCTAACTAGAGCCGAGGCCCGAGTTCTAGTTGAGCCGACTCCCCTTAGACTCCAATGGTCTAGTGACTTCACCTCACTGCCGAGAGGAGGATTAGGCTCGAGTGGTATATGGTAGAGGTGACTCTAGGATGGAGAGGAAACTGCCCTAGAGATAATAGCCACCCGCTTAATAAAATCACCAGAGACACTTGCCATTTGCAGATTCAAACTCCCATAAATATCTCGCAGTACCCAAACTCGGTGACGCTATAAAGGCAATATTGGCTGTTTTTCCTCTCCGTCTAGAGAATTGTAATTATCATGAAAATATCGCCAAGTTCTTCATGTTTATGCCACCACCCCACCACACTCTACACATTTTTTACCCGCTCTCTCAATTGTTGTAACGAATAAATAAGTATTACCTGAATGAACTGCCGCGCTCAGATACGTCAGTAAAATTAAATGCTTATTAGATTATTATTAGATAGACTTAAGGCAAAATTAAATAATAATTGGCATCTCTGAGTGTAGCAGTTAATGTCTATGCCCAGGCTCAGTACATAATTTGGTTTACTGCACCTCGTCTTGCAATAACTTCACAGCTTTCATTGAGTTAACATTGTACTTCGAAGATACGGGTTATTTTGATTAAAAGAAAATCAGACAAAGAATACCAAAGATCAATATGTTGTTCTCAGAATTATAAAAAAAAGGTTGCAAACTTTTATCAAAATTTATTACACTAACTGTCATACTATGAAGAGTGGATGCCGTATTTTAATAAGCTGTGGTCTGATTTAAAATTTGCACAGACAAAATATACCAATATATAAACGCGTGTACTTTAATCACAGTCAGTATGGTAGATGTACTAAGATTATAATAAACATTTTTGTAATTACCTATTTATTTTAATATTTGGTGTAAATAATATATTTAAGTTATTTAAATATTAAGTAAGTTCACAAATAAGCTTGTCTTTTCAGGTAAGCTGCTTGGAGTAATTTTAGTGAAATTCGTGCTTAGAGCACGGATTATGGTATCGGTTTCCGTAATGGGAGTGTGGTTATTTGCAAGTAATTCAGAAACTTTATCTTAAAGTCCATAATACTGAGCAAGGTTAAAAAATTCCAGACGAATTTATCGGTTTTTATTAGATATTTTTGATAAGACAACAAATATTTGATTTAAATTAATATAAATTTCGCCCTGCCTACAGCTCAGAGATAATCGTCGGTTTATCTAAATGTATGTTATACCAGGTAAAACAGGTGGGTCTTGTAACTCCACACTAGTTTAGTTGGAAATATAAATGATTCATTATATTTCTTTCTGAAACTTAACAGAAATCATTTACCTTCTTCAATGTTAGAGTAGTGCAGTTTCTACATTCATCAATATTCATTGCCTGACGTCATAAACTTTTAGTGAATGGGTTATCATCATGCTGTTTTAATTTACAAGATACACCTGCCTGTATTTTGACTATTATTTTTCATAACTAGATATTGCTTATTATTAACATGGATTATTTGTGACTTATCGTTTAAGATCGGACAATCGGTTGCATATTTACCTAAAGTTATTATTTAAGAAGCGGCTTCTTAGGATATTTTTATTAAAAATAAAATCCCGGGATTCCGGGGTTGCATAACTAATCGGACGTATATTTACAGAATTTTAATTTCCCCTTTGAGTATAGTATGTTGTTTGTATGTAAGGTGTAAGAGAAATGTTGGTGTGTTTAATAAGAAAACAAACATAAATGAATATAAATTTATTTATTAATTAAGAACATCTTACACAATATTTTTTATAATACACACAGGGCAACTGTCATTTTTGTCAAACTTAGTTTATTAGATGTCAAGACGTAAACACTTAAATTTTAATTTCCCGGAATCGCGGGATTTTATTCGATAAAAAAGTGCTTTCAATGTTAGCCAACATCTCAACTTTAGGTAAAAAATTAATGCACATTAATTATCCGATCTCTATTTATCGTTCACCGGCTCTATCCCATATTTAAGGTTTTTATTTTTTTTCTATTCGATAATTTGCGTGTCCATACCATGTATGTGTAATAAATAACTCTTGTCTTTTCATTATTTCTAGATGCAATCTTGTAAAAAGGTATCCCCATTAATTTTTTGTTTTCTGAATGTCAAGATCAAGCTTTACTAATATAATGCAGTAAAAGACGCTCGATTCATAAAGCTTATACATTATTGCTCTAAGTTAAAGGATCACTTGCATTCAAAACCCGAAAATTTAACGGCAATACTTTACCTTTGTAAGTAGCCCTTTAAATGTAACTATTTAAATAGCAAAATAAACCCATCTTTATTATTTATATTTCTATTACTTTAAAGAAAATATTCTGAGAAACTGCCTGTTTGGCTGTCATGTTTTATATGCAGCTGGTCCTTCTAGCAACACACATGCTTAGCGTGCTCAATGTTGCCACTTTAACGTGCCATAGAAGAGACCAACCGGAGAAATCCGAAGTTGCTAGCACATAAAATATTAGTTACATCAATACCATTTAAGCGTATTTGAATTTTAAAATACATAGCGGTTTTAAGACAATTCCAAAAAACAGATAAAAGTTTTGTAAATGTTGAGTGATAAGTTTATGCTAGCAACTGTATGGGTTGCCAATCCTAGAAATTGGAAAATTAAAGCTGCTGTTTAAATGTCCACTTATATATTGTATGTTTATGTCGATGATACAATTACTTATATCTAAAGAAAATTTTACTAGAGATAATTCCACGCGGACCCGGCAGCAGACGGGGCTCGAACCCGCACCCTCCGCGATCTGGGCGGATGCACTGAACAATATTCTACCGCGGCCCTATTGGCCGTGGCGAATTCATTTTAGTGTTTCCTAATCTGCAAAGCAGCGCCATCTCTTCGCATTGTAGGTAACCCACAATGTCAAATACATACCTTTACAAGCATTAAACATTTGAAAGAAGAATTAGCAATTCTAGTTATACTTTTTTTTTAGGTTTGAGTTCGAGTCCAGTCTGCTGCCTGGTCCGCGTGGAATATTTTCTAATAAAATTTTCTTTATATTTAAACATCTAGCAGTTAAATGCTTTAAATAACAATTACTTATAGTTTAATCTTGATGCTTTTAGTTGCATGATAGTATATGATTTCGTGTTTAAATGGATCGCAACCCAACGCTGCAAACACACTCCCGACTGAAATAAAAAAATACCATAATGTGTTTCGCTATTAACAACATTATTTTCAGATGGCGAGCACATAATAGGTGCTGCACATAGTCCAATCCTAGTGCAAAAGTAAAGTTTCGTTTACTATCAGACCAGTCAATAATCATAAAAGTATTGATTTATTTATAACACATTTTACGAAAAGTAGCATACCAAAAGCGTTCACAAACTTAATTGACTTTATAATTTTGATAAGCAATAATTAATGTAATTGGAAATGTATTCGTTGAGACCAGAGGTGCAAGCACCGTGAAGTTTGACAGATCCGTAATCGTATCGTCATCGTCAAATTTTGTATGGTAAAAAGTCAGTTTGTTCTTATAGTGCGATTCAAATAAGAATAGGAAAGTCAATGACCTCCATCTGTCAAATGTCGATTTAAAAGTACGGTTTGCAAAATAATCTTGGACCCCTTTTTAGAACTCGGCTAATTTTAGAATAAAAACCAAACATTTGTAAATAAACAATAACAAATATTGATAATTAATATTGGTTGATATTTTTTTTTCATTTATTGAGCTTTGGCTATGAATGGTTGATAACCTAAATCGTCAACCAAATGTCACTTTAAGTAGCGTTCAGAAACTCGATTTAAAACTTTCGTTAACATAAAGGATGCATGTTCGTATGTGACTTTGTGTACTTCGTATGTGTTCGTATTCGATATTAGGAAGAAACGGTCTACAGTTTTGGCTGTTTATAAATATGTTCAGCAAATAATTAAAGTAATAGAAGATAAAAAATATGCTATTGGAATTCTATTGGATATGTCGAAAGCATATGATAGTGTTAATCATAAAATACTACTTAATAAATTATACGGAATAGGCATTCGCGGAACAGCGCACAATTGGTTTAAAAGTTATTTGCAAAACCGACAGCAATTTGTTGAAATAGAACATTTTGATCATATACACAAAGAAATAATAAAGGTTCTCTCTGAAAGTAAAACTATAAACGCTTCCATTCCTCAGGGGAGCGTCATCGGATGTCTCCTTTTTCTAATTTATATCAATGACAATAGAGGAACCGTGTGTCCTATTTGCGGACGATATTTCTCTTCTCACATCTTGTAAAAACAACAACAACTTACAAACCAAATTAAATTTAATAATGACCCAGACTTTTAACTGGTTAAACAAACATAACCTTAGTAATAATAGTAATAACAAACATAAACTTTGATAAAACTAAATTAATAACCTTTCACCCGCGTCAAAAATTACCGCTAAAATTCTGTTATAGTTTTCAAAACAAAAATATCGAATGTGTGAATGATTTTTCATTACTGGGTATAACTATAGACACTAACTTAAATTGGAAATCTCACATCCAGATGTTAAAAAATAAATTATCTAGTTTTACATATGCACTTCGAGAGGTCAAAAAAACAACAGATCTAAAGACTGCTCTTATCACATATTATGCTTATGCCAATGCCTGGTTTACCTATGGAATCATCTTGTGGGGGAACAGTACGGACGTATCCTCTTTATTTACACTACAAAAGAAACTTATTCGTATTATTGTTAATATTAACCAAACTGAAAGTTGTAAACCTTACTTCCAAAAATATGAAATTCTCTCTTTACCAAGCATTTATATATTTGAGATTTGTAAATTTGTAAAAAAATACTCAATTTTTTTTACTAGAAGAGAAAACATTCCTTCAAAATATACATCGAGACACAAGAAAAACCTAATGGTTCCAACTACTCGCCTTAAATTATGCTCATCGAGCACTTATAATATGTCTATAACAATCTATAATAAATTACCTGAAAATTTAAAAAATGAAGAAAATTACAATGTTTTTATTAAAAAAATTAAGTTAATGTTATAATTTTTATTATTTTTAAAGCATGTAACTGCTTGATGTTTAAATCTAAAGAAAATATAACTAGAAAAAATTCCACGCGGACCAGGCAGCAGACGGGACTCGAACCCGCACCCTTCGCAATCCGGGCGAATGCACTGACCAATTATGCTACCGCGGCCCTCACGGACCGCGTCGAAATTCTTTCTAGCTATTCTTAAGCTGCAAGGCAGCGCCATCTCTTCGCATTATAGGTAAACCCACAATGTCAAATGAATACTTTTACAAGTATTAAACATTTGAAAGAAGAAATAGCAATTATAGTTATAATTTTTATTATTTTTAAAGCATGTAACTGCTTGATGTTTAAATCTAAAGAAAATATAACTAGAAAAAATTCCACGCGGACCAGGCAGCAGACGGGACTCGAACCCGCACCCTTCGCAATCCGGGCGAATGCACTGACCAATTATGCTACCGCGGCCCTCACGGACCGCGTCGAAATTCTTTCTAGCTATTCTTAAGCTGCAAGGCAGCGCCATCTCTTCGCATTATAGGTAAACCCACAATGTCAAATGAATACTTTTACAAGTATTAAACATTTGAAAGAAGAAATAGCAATTATAGTTATAATTTTTATTATTTTTAAAGCATGTAACTGCTTGATGTTTAAATCTAAAGAAAATATAACTAGAAAAAATTCCACGCGGACCAGGCAGCAGACGGGACTCGAACCCGCACCCTTCGCAATCCGGGCGAATGCACTGACCAATTATGCTACCGCGGCCCTCACGGACCGCGTCGAAATTCTTTCTAGCTATTCTTAAGCTGCAAGGCAGCGCCATCTCTTCGCATTATAGGTAAACCCACAATGTCAAATGAATACTTTTACAAGTATTAAACATTTGAAAGAAGAAATAGCAATTATAGTTATAATTTGACATTGTGGGTTTACCTATAATGCGAAGAGATGGCGCTGCCTTGCAGCTTAAGAATAGCTAGAAAGAATTTCGACGCGGTCCGTGAGGGCCGCGGTAGCATAATTGGTCAGTGCATTCGCCCGGATTGCGAAGGGTGCGGGTTCGAGTCCCGTCTGCTGCCTGGTCCGCGTGGAATTTTTTCTAGTTATATTTTCTTAAGTTAATGTTATTGAATAAATGCTATTATAGCCTCCAGGAGTACCTAAATGACAAAACTACTATGGAATAAATATAACAAATACAATATTATTTTTATTATAAAAAGATATAATACAATACTTACATAATTAATAATCGTACATAAATCATAAATGTAATTATACAATATCTTATTGGAGTACTATGAATAAATAATTTTTATGGGTTTTAATTCATTGGATATAACAAATTATATCACAATAAGGAATTATGAATAAGACGTCCTCTCCTCTTGCAATTGCGATACCCTACACTACAGGGTCCATAATGCACTTTTGTCTATATGTTACCACCTTTGTATCTCCATTATGGTCTGCAATAAATGAATTGAATTGAATTGACCTAATAATAGTGCATGATTATTCATAACTACTCCGGAGAGATGAGCGGAATTAAAGAGCTAGAGTCTGATTAATGTTTTTTCTCACACAGTCTTAATAAATAAATATTATGAAAAATGTTACTTTTTCTCAATTTTATTAAAAAAAACTGATGATTTTTCTCACTTATTTAGTAAATAAGTTTTATTAAATAAAAACTTTTCTTTCCTTACTCTATCTATTTGGTTTGAATTGACAGCTATGACGTCACAATATGGCGCCCAGTCAGTCCTATTCTTAATTGAATCGCAACATACGTCTGGTAGAAGCGCTGCTTCGTTCGCTTTGAAACTTTGACGATGTGATAAGATTGCAGAGCTGTCAACGTTCGTGCTTGTCTCTCCGTATTTACGTAAACGTTCCTCTGTTAAATGCTGATAAATTTCTTGTGCTCGATCTATCAGCATAAGCTATTTTGAATGTCATGTTTATAGCGAACAATTACGTGTTCCAAGTTCCAACACGCGTTTCTTTTAATCAGAACGATTATTTCTTTGTCTGTGAGGTGGTTGCATTCAGCCATGATAACAGACGGGACATATTGGTTCCGTGACACGTCTCACAGACGAGAAGACTTAGTAAATGTAGCATTGGAAGTCCATATAATTAACTTCCTTTTGCACTAGGATTACCATCGCAGCTCCTCCCCAAATTTTCAAAGGTGTATTTGCAGCCGGCCTCAGAAATGGCACGTCAAGTCGACCCCTACGCTCAATCGTTTTATTTCAACAGGATCGAAGACGAGTGGGTGCCGGTGAAAGAAGTGAAACGCATCAAACGCGTGGAGATCTCGGAGCTGACGGCGCGCGCCAAGGTGTTAGTTTACGAGCAGTTCTGCGGGGCTTACGCGCAACCTGCAGTCACCAATAAAGGTAGGTTTTGTTATATTGATGTGTAACATCTTTCCTTTCGCTTTCATGCAATTTGTGGAAGTGATAACGTGAAGTGCGTAAGAGGAAGTGTGGGAAGCGCGCGCTATTTGATTTGATTTTAGAACAATGTTCAAATGGATTATTCCTTTTGTAGTAGGGTTTATTTCTTTTTTTTACTAATATAAGGTGAGGTTTATATATATATAACACATCAAATGCGACTAAAACTTCTTTACGCACGCTTGACATGTGGGGGGAAGCTGGCGAAAGCGTTATGCGTTACCAAAAGTGTGTTCGGGCGCACATTGTGTTATTTCACCTCAAAATTACCACTCCCTTGATTAAAGGTGAATCAGATAAAGCTCTTCATTCTAAGCGCAAGAGTAAAACTCCCACGATTCTAACTATAATAGTTTCGACGAAATCCCAGTTTTTCTTTTTTTGTACCACATTGTGAAAAAGAAATAAAAAAAAAATGTCTAAACTATTACAGTTATTTTATTTTTTACATTGTATTTCAAAAGGTATTATTTTTATCCATATTATGAGTCTTCTATGGCTGCCCTAGAGCTTGTAGGAACCGAGAAATCAGCGTTTTAGTGATTTTCGTTTTTAATTTTTTGTGCTCATGTTATAAATGCAATATTAAAGCTTATAATTTAGTTCAAAATGTACCTAATAATGTAGACTATCAACTCAAAAAATAACAAGCTTTAACTCGGTGGTATATCGGAAATATTAAGAATTTAAATTTGTGGGACAATGTCCCACATTTTGAAGACTTAATTTTGAAAACGTAGTTATACTACTTTTTAAATATTATACTATAATAACTATATAAATACGTTGTTATTATATTATTTACTATTTATATAAGATTATAAATGTGTTTGGTATGTCTGTTACATAATCATCCACTTTTGTGGGCCAACTTGTTTGGATGAAATGTGGCACACAGGCATTAAGTTCTTCCCTATTAAGTGCAAATAAACAAATAAATCTGTTTAAACATTATCTGTCGTAAACACACTGTCTTCGTTATGAAGAACAGTTGTGAATTCATTTTCTTCACTTTCTATGCATGCAGTTTCGTCGTCGACATCACTGTTATCGTCATATAAACATCCCAAACTGTCCGGTTTTAATAAATTTATTACAGCCTGTGGCAGTGGCATTCTCATTCGGTTATTTTCACGATGTTTTAGCCGTATAGCCGATATCACAGGGTCGGATGACTCGAGCGCCCTGTGAAATAAGTCGGTCATGGTATGAACCCTAGAATCTTTCCGGCTGTGATGTTCTCTGTCCTGACGCCAAAACTTGTTCCTGGATTCTCCTGCCTGTTCGGAGAGTAGTCCAATGGGTAGCGCTGAATTCTCTATAATTTTCTCTCCGTGAATTAGGATTTTGTGAAGGGTAGTAGTCATAGGGTGCCAGTTGTAGTTTGCTACGAATTTTTTAGCTATATTTTTACAAAAAGTACCGAATTTTTAGGCGTCTATTGGTAATCCCGAATTGATGGCTATTAAAATTAATTTTAAATCATCTACGAGCCATTTCTCAATATCAAGTATATTGGCAAACGTCTGGCGGCTTGAGCTTTATCTGATTCACCTTTAATCAAGGGAGTGGTAATTTTGAGGTGAAATAACACAATGGCGTGGCGAACGGAAGTTGAGTGGGGGAGCAAAAGAAAGCAGTGCGCGCGCACATTTTCTTTCTCTTTTTCTCATATAGCTAGTAAATGAAATATGTATATGTACATACATGTATATATTGTACACATACACTCATATATATACATACGTACAGATGGAGCTAAAGAAGTTTCACTTCATTCGTGTGGTCATAAGCACACTCGTTTTTTTTAAGCATATAACTGCTAGACGATTTAAATCTTAAGAAATTTTTACTAGAAAAAGGTAGGTTTTGTTAAAGGCTTTCTTGTTTTAACATTGCTTGACAGAAGTTTTTGATAGACAATTTCGCATGATTAGAATAGACGTAATTTATCATTTTTGCAGTGTATGTATTTAATGATTAATGCTAATCACAGCTGAAGCAATCGGAGCAAACTATTTAACGCATCTTAAATGCACTGAGTAATAAGATTGAATGTAATTTTATATCATGTTAATTTTTGCTTTATTTGGCAAATTGTAACCGAGCTTCATTGAGATTAGAGGTAGCAAAATTTTAAATCTTACAGCAATGCTTAGCAACTCCGATGGTCGACGATCTATTCTTATGACTTAGAAAGTGATAGTATCAACTTTATTCAAACTTAATTATATCATTTATTGGCAAAAACAGATCCATATTTTAGTATACATTATAACTAAGCGATAGTAGCTTAAAATAATATATTCATAATAAATTATTATTATGAATTGTTACTTGATGGCTCCGAGTACAGCTCCTAGTGCTAAAAATATGAGTGAGGGATATAGATCCCGTCACTTAAAAAGGCCGCTAAGTGTTAGTGGATAAAATGGGTTTGCGTATGGTTACGATTGCGGCCGAAGGCTTTGTTTTTTGTTAGTATAAGTGTCAGGTAGAATTATTGTAACAATAAATTTTTGTATGTTACAGGGAAGATTAATCGAAATAGTCGATAAAACTGCGCACTACGCAGGTTTAAAGCCAGCGGCCATTTAACGTGATGAGACTTATACCCGATATTTATACAAACACACTAGTAGGCTTATAATATAGTACCCTTAGCACGAACCATTTACGATCTTAAAAGTTGAAGTCGATTTATTTTGTACGTCAAATGTGTACTGATTTCTAGTTCTAGTTACGTCCACTGTGACGCTGCTGTTCAAGTTACCATAAAAAATGTGCCATTGATATTTTGCACTCGCATACTCTTCAAATTCGAGATTGGTTCGTGCTAAGGGTACAGTTAAGAAATTGTCAATTTTAAAGTGTTTTTTTCGTTTCCCTTTTATAGCGCCCGCGCCTGCGCCTCGTCCGCCGGCTGCCCCCAGATCCCGCGCCGCCCGCGCCCTCTCGGCACTGCTAGCACGGCCGGCGCTGCACTGCCGCGGGGACTGCTCCCCCGCCACTTCTTATACCCCCGCCGCTGCCCCCTCCACCCCTGCACCCCCCGCCACCGCCACGCCCGCCGAGACCCACGTCTCTGGCGCCAAGAAGAGGAAGATGGGCCGGCGCTACGGCGGCGACTGCTTCCACCCCTCCGGACGGTAATCCCGCCCGCTGCGCAAACAAGACACGACATTCACTCACAAGACTGATGCTTAACTTTTATAATGACGACGAGAGGAGAGAACGAGCCGCCGAGACGGCCCTGTATATATCTAGTGCGAATGTAGGAACGTTCGTAACCGCAAAAGCGGCGAGCAGGACGGAGTAGTCTGATAGCGATAAGGCGACCAGCATCACTGCCACTACATGTAAATACGTTAGGTGTAAGTTAGAGTAATTAGAGTTGTCGCTTGGATCTGTACGTGCCCGGTGGGGCGACTCGTCCGACTCGACCGACTCGGCCGGCCCGCCCCGGCCGACTCGGCCGACTCGCGTCGCGACTCACAAGTGCCTCGACGTAGCACAGATTACTGATTACGTAGTGTTCACTTTATATCATGATTGTATGTATACCCGCGTAGTCATATCAGACGAAACTCGCAGTTAGTGTTAGCGTGTTTAAGAGTTCCATTTTGATATTCGAGTTTTTTAAATATGTCCCCGTCTCTGTGTTCGGAACGTTGAAATTGAGCAATTTTCGATGAAGCTTTACGGACGACGGCGGCCGCGAGCCGCGATCCGTTCCAGCGAGCGGCCGTTGTATTTTTAGCATCGACTTCGACGATTGTAATATTTAGCAATAAAGGTTTTGTGATAAGAGTTTTACTTAATAGTTGAGGGACCGGTGTTCATTTCTATGTATGAGTAGTTCAGTGTGATGTGCGATAGTTTGCGACTTTATTGTGGGGCTATGGACCGCGGTGATATGTTCTAGTATCGAATGAAGGAGACGGCCGTCAGACCATATGCTCAGAGCTGCTTGCGACTTATTTAATGAAATTATAGATATATTCTAAACTATTATCTAGTTAACGAAGCAGACACCTCAAAGTGCGGTCTGAACGCATCCCAAAAGATGAGGGTAGACGCACACGAATCGCATCGAACTTATACATGCCAATGATTTTGATATTAACGATTAGTATCAATAGAGCAGAGTCGGACGACCGTATTTAGCGTTACAATAAACTGTTTTGGAGGCCCCTTATATACAGATGTTGTCGGATCGATGCCTTTTTTTAGCAATATTTAGGATTGTACAATTGAATATGAAGTAAATTGTGTTCTGTGCTCACACGATCTCGCTAGTATTTTTAGTTAGTGCCTTTAGTGTTAAGTTAGGTTGAATCGCGTATGTAATCGGCGGGTCTCTTGGATGTTGTCTAGCATTTTCGCGCTTTTCGATGACGTAGTAGGGGAGATTCCGATGGTAGAGATTGTGCGCTCGCGAATACGATTTCGTGAGCGATCGAGGCGAGAAGGCTTGCAGTATAGAGATTGTATGAAGTGTCCACTCGCCGGCGCCAGATTGACGGATCACCGCGCCGGCGAGTGCCGGACCGGACTCGGTCCAGACCCAAAGAAATATTTAGGAAAATTTCTCCAGTAGTCGAGTTTGGTGCCTGATTGTTGTCGGTGTGTTATGGGATCGTATGCTAATCTAAATACAGTTTAGACTTCGTTTTGGAGCGTCTCCAATGGTACTGATTATTTTTTTAAATAAATTTAAAAACCTAGATTAATTATTTTCAGCACTGACGATAGTGCCATATTTTATTGGCTCGCTTCATTTTTTTATAAATTATATTTTTTTCTAGTGAAATTCGACACCAAAATCAGAAGGACGAAATAATTGATATTTTGTAATCTGTTCATCGGAACAGTTATGGACTTTATTCGATTGATCTCAATTAATAATCGGCAGTAGTTAACCGCTTAGCCCGGAGGGGTGGGGGAGGGGTAATCCTTTCCCCCCTCCCGTTTGGTTCATGTCATTTTCGATATTAAGTTTCGCTCAATTCTATTAGATATTTTTTCATCTACGTTAACAGTACGCGACTCAACTATTTGGCCTACGAAAACGATTTGTTCAAAAAAATTGCGTTCGCTTCAACCAATTTTCGAAATAATCAAAACGACGACCGTATCGTATTACCGTTAGATTAGTATTAGGCGTTCGAAACGTTAGGCAGAGAGATATTTTGTGAAAGCGAACCTTGTTCTCGAGGTACTAAATTATATCGGACAAACAAAAATAAGTCGTAAGCGCAAAAAGATTTTATATTTTTATCACTGCCACAATAGTATGTAATAGATTTGTGTCGATTAGGTTCGTTTTGGCTTGCGCGTGTGCGTTTCTCTCGGATACATTGCTCACCGATTTATTAAGGGTATCCTTTTATTATATAGATAATTTATATAATAATAGGATATTATATTATTAATTATTATATTTAGATAAACAGGTAACGCGTTAAACGAACACGCGCGAAGCGATTCCCTTTTATGTGTAACTGAAGTATTTAAATGGGGAACAACGGTATTCGCTGCCAATATATTTATTTCCTGTAAGGCTGACTGTATACTGGCTACTATCGCTTCAGCAACTAGACTAGTTTGTACTTCATCGAGACAATAATGTTCAAAATCAAATAATGTTACTAAGTACATATTAGGAAATATCCTTTTTCTAACACCCAAAATACAAGGAGACCTGAGTGACTGAGAGGAAAGTGCAAGAATTCAGTTTTAATTTAATTTATTTATTCAAGTGTCGAGTTTGTCTCACTACAGGATATTGGCGAAATTTCTGTGTAAAACGGAAACAGCCACAGACTAAAAAAAAGTTTCGAGTTTAAAATGACTTCAACAAACGTTTAAATAATTTTAAAGAAAATTAAATTTCCTTAGTGAATAATAGTATGCTACTTTAAGATTATAATTGCTTTAGCTTGATCTCGATAAATGGAGACAATTTTGTGTATTAACAAGCATATGCGATTTAAGCTTAAGTATCAGACTGATAATTTTTGCTAGTCTTACGTAGAGTTCTTAGACAAGTAGTTGTTGCTGATTCGTAGCAAATAATACTAATGTACATTTAGGTATACAGAACTGTGTCTTCACTTCACTCATTCAAAATTTTAAATTCATACGAAATCAATGATTTATTAAATTAAATTTAAATTATTTACCTATTTGTTTCTTAGGTTTTCACGCACATCACTCATTAAATTAAACAAGTTTCAACGGGTTAGATGCACTAATTTTATTTATTTATTGACGTTTCGCATCCTTTGCAGTATGCGTCGTCAGTAAATAAATAAAATCAGTGCATCTTACCCGTTGAAAATTGTTTTATTTACTATTTACCTAATGGGTAATTTGGTATTGGTAACACCGTACAACCTGATAGTAGCCAATGTGTGGCCAGCCTCATACTCTTAAGTTTGAATTGTGAGATGTGACTCGTTGGGAATCTAGCTAAAGTTTGTGAAGGCGTGAAACACATTACAGCTGAGATGCAGACGGAACCGGCTCCTAAACATCGGGCCGGCCATTTTACTGCGCTCTAATGAGATTTTAATAGCCTATTATTAATTAAATATATAACATCGGCGACCGCTCAAATAACACAGCGGAATTAGTTTTCTGGCCAGACTCAAAAAATGTAAATAGTTAAGTGTATTTATTATTAAGTATTATTCTGCATAATCTGTAATTTGCTTCGCGTCTGGTCGGGATGTGTAAAGATGGGGGAGGGGGGGGGGGGGGGGTCGTAGTATGGAGTTGTCTTTCAACATGTTTCCTATATTATGCGTTTATTATATGAATGTTCTCCTTTATTGTAAATGTTTTACGAGATACAATAGTGACGGCATGTGAGGCCTGTGTATCCCGAATAGTGTGCACTACTTATATTCAATTTGTAGATATTTAATTATATATAGTATAATGTTTAATGCGTTGTCTCATTTATTTTATCCCTCATATGGTGAATTCCGAAACTTTAATTATAATTTTACCCGCAGCGGACGCTGGGTGATCTACCTCAATTAATTTATCACACATTTGGGCATAATAAATAGTAAATGTTAATTTAATCTCGAACCTTGAAATTTGTTCAATGTAGTGATTGTTAAGATTTTTTTTAAATACAATGGTTTGTCCATCTGTCACAAGTACTGTATCTTATATTAAATACATATTGTATGATTGATAAACATGTGTTTAATTTTTGTTACACTAAGTATTTATATTATGGACTATTCACTGTACTGAAGCCCAAGCACGAATTTTGACAGCTCCCTAATCGTATCGTCATCGTCAAATTTTGTATGGAAGTGGTCAGTTTATTCTTACGTCCGGTAGGAGGGCTGCTTAGTTTTCATAGAAACTGCTAGACAGTATTGGCCCTTTGGATTAAGATGGTGCGGCAGAGATATGTGCAGTGCCATCTTTGTCGTGAAACTTTGAAAACTATTACAAAACCACAAAAAAGTATTATTCAAAAAAAGATTTGAGTGAGATTTCCGCACCCGTCCGGGAAAGACTCTGAGAAGGCCACAGGGAAATAACACTACGTTTTGGTGGTGTTGTGTTTTTGAGTAGGCCATAATAATACTTGTTTGCCTCTGTTTTAACATAAATGAATGAAATACGGTCTTGTAGATGATATTTCTCCAGAAGTGCGGGGCTCTCCAACGGGGAAGAAAACTGATAGTTATCACAGCCAGTGGCGCTAGGTGTCGTGTGGCCCATCATTAATTTATTTGCAGAACGACTATGAAGCAAAATGCCTTACATTTTGCTTCATAGTCGTTCTGCAAATTAGGCTTTGTAATTGTGTATTAATCTTCCTACGTTAGTAGTATAATATAAATATAACTTCCATATTTATGTAAATAGGTAATTATACAACCATTTTCTAAATAGATTTAACCACCAGAACGTAAACCGGAAAACTTAATGGCGTTAAATTAAATGGTTCTTTGGGGAGCACTTAGTAAATAAAAATAAATTACCTATGTTGATAAAGTGTCGATGTTTCTTAACAGTATTAAAATCAAAAGCAATAAAGATGGAATTGATTCCGTGATTGGTGAAAATTAAAAACCGATTAGACCACGGTCCATTGATCATTAACTGATGATTCTAGTACAAAGATAAAACCAAAATTTCTTTCAACCGAATAAACCGGAGCTATTATTGTATAAAATTAGTTAAATCTCTCTTTCGATTTCACGCTAGTGTGGGGGTACACTAAAAGTAATCAAGTCATTTTAGTTGATTTTTCCATGGATTCAGTATGTTACAGTCTGTTACAGTTATGATTTATTTCGTAAAGGGGAAACTAACCAACCCGACCAAGAAAGGGATCCAAAAGTAGAAATGGTGTTTTCGCAAAAGGTGGTGCTCTTGTGACGCATGGCATCCAATGGCATCACATCGAAATAGTAAGATGCTAACGGTTGCCAATACGCATGCGCGCCTAGATAGAGAAAGCTAGCGGTCTCTCATCTTCTTTCTCTTTCTATTAGAGGGACACTTCCACTTGTATATCTCCCCTACTCTATTCTTATACCTCAGTGGTTTCAGCACCGTCATCTCGTTTTCGTTATCGTCCCGGTGGTGGAAAAAGGCCTAAGGAATCCAGAGATTCACGGGGTAGAGGGTAACAAACTATCAGTTTACGATATCAACTGTAGTACAAGTTTATTCTTTCGAGAAACAACTAAACGATAACTTTCGACATGTAACTCGATATTACGATCTTCACAGTGCATATTTCCATCGCTCTGGCAAGTGTATTATAAGAAAAAAATGTTTGTGCGAGCTTACGAAAACTTTCTACTAGTATCTCAAGCCGCACAGATAGATGATGATGCTGAAAAGAGTTCCGCTCCAGCCATCCTCAGTCTGTAAAGGCTTGGAACCGTACCTACCGTACAAAAAGAACACAATCATAATGTCTAGTGTGTGCTACAAACATGTGCCATGTGCTAGTTTGATATAAAAAAAATAAGCCTATCAGCCACACTGCTGAGGTACAAACCTTTACTATGGATGAAATTGGGCCACCCGGACATAATACGCGGGGTCAGCGTGGATTGGTACAAGTCTTACAAAGGAGGTTGAGGTAAAACATTTTTGGTCACCCATCCGATGACTTGCCATTCTGCCACGATAATGAACAGTACCAGAACTCGGTATTTACCGCTTCCGAGAAAAACGCGCTAAAATTTTTGAACTTCGTTTTTCTAGTAGTATCTCATGAACTACTAAACGTTTCTACATGAAACTTGTACCAATAGAAAGAGAAATAAATAAAGAGCAACTTCAAAATAAACTTAAACTGAAAATAAGACGATGAGATATTATAATAATATAATTTATTTGCCAAAATACAGTTCATAGGTTGGTACATTTTATAGAAGTAAGTACATGTATTTTACCTGCAGGCAGATATATATACATAGTAACATGTTGTAGGCATTAACTTTATAAATATAAGTATGCGTGGCAAGGAGGCTGATATAAGAAGGTTCTATATTGACATCTCGTGTGTCTATTGCTCTTCTCTGTCTTCTCGAAATACTTGATGTGATCCCTGACAAAGAAACATGTTTCGTTTATGTACATGCAGGGTAATGGAAGTATTTCATTTTTTTATATGAGATAGGAAAGGACCAAAATCGTGTTAATGTACTTTTCGTTAGCGCGGCAGCAACCGAACCTGCTACTTGCGCACAGTTCTTGATAAATAAACAATACAAGTGTAACATAATTGTGTCTATTTTAGGTATGTAAATAAATATAATGATAACTTCTTCCACACACATCTACCGGCCCAGTTAGTGTTATAAGTTTGATTGTCTGTAACAAAAATTTAAATTATGGTTGAGCAATTATTTAAAAAAAACATAAAAAGATGGTTCATAAACCTGCTACAAAACTGCGTAGGAAATAACTTTTTGCTCAATGTAATATTTATAAACAATAAATATTTCCAACACACACCAATTAGCCTAGCCCTAAAGTAAGCACTGTCAGGCTTGTGTTATGGGATTCTAGGGTAACGGATAGAATACTTATACTGTACATATATGTATAAATATATTTATATAGAAATACATATCAAACATCCATTACTGTAGTACAAATGCTTGTATTCATCACACAAACATCTGCCCCCACCGGGATTCGAACCCGGGACCTCTCGAGTCGGCTACACCATGAAACCCGACCTACAAGCCACCCGACCACGGAGTTAATCAATTATGTTTAGCTTCTTTCTCGTTTTTTCGAGCATTTGTACTCCAGTCATGGATGTTTAATATGTATTTCTATATATAAATATGCTTATATATGTATTCTATCCGTCACCCTAGTATTCCATAACACAAGCCTTACAATGCTTACTGTGGGGTGGACTAATTGGTGTGAGTGTTGGAAATATTTATTTATTATGTATTTATTTATTTTTAAAGTTTGGAAACATTTCATTACGTCGTCAACATCTCCATCACCATTTATTATATTTTTGCTGGATTTATGAATCTAAAGAAAATTTTACTAGAAAAATCCAGCCATCATAAGTCAAGATTCAAACCTGAAACCTGCCTGGTCCACGTGGATTTATTTCTAGAAAAAAAAATCTTAAGATTCTTCATTATCGATTACATCGTAACAGTTGTTATTACGAAACATCGCAACTGTCAATGTAGAATGCAGTTATTATTATTTGTACCTAATGAAATTCAATATTATTTTATTGAAAACAAGTAAAACGCACAACAGTCAATGCGGCCGCCCAAGCCAAGCCAAGGTCGCGTTTCCGATTTCTACATGCGATGCGATCATAGTACATCATCATTGTTATTGCATCGCGATAAGTTGCAATATAGCGAAAGGCAGTAAGCAAGGGAACGATTGCCACCGACGTTTCACAAGGCAACCTGACACCGAAACAGGGGTTCCCAACTTCATACACTAACTTTCGTTTTAGATTCGACAACCGCAGGTTGGTTTTGTAACATACGATCGCCCATTCTAGCTTTGTTTATAACTAACTAGCTGTGCCCCGCGGTGTTACCCGCGGTTTATTAGGGATATTTTCCCGCAGTAAAACGTAGCCTACGTGTTAAACCAGGGTGACAGCTAACTCCATACCAAATTTTATTAATATTGCTCCAGCCGTTTAGACTTGAAGAAGTAACAAACATACACACTCACAAACTTTCGCCTTTATAATATTAAGTGTGGTGGTTCGTACTCACATACGGTATTACATTCGGTATTATTCTATAGTTTTACTATATTGGCGCGATTACACTTGGTCGTTAGCCCGAATACAAGTGCCAATGGAATTCAGGTAAACGATTCATTGTAAATGAACAGAGTCGAGTACGCCCGTGTTCGGGAGTTTTTGTTTTGGTCACCCGACACCGTCTTCCAGTTTAAATATTGCTTCGGGTGCCCGAATTCGAGAGAGGTCTTTCGTGCACCCGACGACGTAAACAACGTAATTGAGGCATAAAGCGAGTAAAAATCAACACGTCGCTTCCTACGAATGAGCCTTCGAGTTGTGAGATTTGCGGTACGTTGATTTTTACTCGCTATAGAGCCCATAACTCGCACCTGAGGAAAGTGGGTGATTAATTGATTAATATTAAGTATTTAAGTAAATGTATAAAAATTCGAAGTATCAACACCAGACAGATTGTATGTCACGGATTAGCTTATTGATTTCGAACCTGAAAAAATACCTGAGAAG